TCAGGCAGTGACACTTGGCTGCACGTGAGCCTTCCTGCTGGCCCTTTCCTTCTTTCTTTCTTTACTAGTTTATTTATGGAGACAGTCTCGTGAGCACAGGCTGGCCTTGAATCCAATATGTAGCCAAGGATGACTCCTGACTGTCCTGCCTCTACTACCTGGGTGCTGGGGTTCCAGATGTGCACCACCGAGTCCCGACGTGTGGATTTGCTGCATTACAGATGATCCCCACTGGCTGTAAGCGTCAGGGTTAGGAGAAAATGGCGCCTCAGAGCCAGGTAAGACAGACAGCGCGTGCAGGCGCAGGCTGCTGCTCACGGCAGGGTTCTGAGACAGGGCCTTGCTTTGCTTGCTATGTAGCCCAAGCTGGCTTCTCACTCCTGACAATCCTCCTGCCTCAGCTTCTGAAGTGCTGGGACTATAGGCATGTTAATCTGGCTGCGAAGCTAATTTCTCAGAGAGACTGGCTTTTTGAGTGGTCTTGGTCATCAGCTGGGATGAGCCTTAGGACCTGGGTCACCTCAGGCTATCTCCCCAGAACAGGCTGCTCCCCGTCACCCGCCAGACCACGAACACTTGCCTTGGCCTTGCCCTGGAAGTTGAAGGTCAGCACACACTCCCCAGGTCGCGTCTCGCTTTGGCGGATCACAAAGAGGCCATGGTTCCGGGGTCCCCCGGCCAGCACCAGCTGAGCAGCCTTCACTCGGGACAACGTCCCATGGAACCAGGGGTAGTCGGAGAGTTCCAGCTCAGCCTCCGTTTCAGTGTCTAGCTCAGCTCCTTCATCCCCTGGGTTGGTTGTGACAGCACGAGGGACAAAGGAAGACAAATAAGTCAACAGGGAAGGGGAGCCGCATCTTGTCTGTCTGGGTAAGCTGCCACTTGAGTATTAGACTCAGGTGGAGAACTGACTGACCATGTCTAGTCAGCCTTGAGGTAAACTGAGGCATAGGGAGGGAGGGAGCACTCGCAAGCCAGGGACAAAGCTGAGAAGAAGCCAAGCCTCTTCTCCACCTGGCTCCAGGAAGTCCTTTTGTTTATGTGTAATGTAGGTGTCTGTGGGTGCATGTGTGTGCCGGGAGACGCCAGAAGAGGGCATCAGATCCCCTGGAGCTGGAGTGACAGACAGGTGTGAGCGGCCCCACATGGGTGCTGGGAACCAAACTCAGGTATGTAACAGGTTTCAAACTCAGGTATGTAACAGGCTTCAAACTCAGGTATGTAACAGGCTTTCTCTTGGCTGCCAACCAGCTCCAAATCATGACATGGAGACTTATTAGTTACAAAGGCTCTGCCTTGGCATAGGCTTGTTTCTTCCTTTCTTTCTTTCTTTCTTTCTTTCTTTCTTTCTTTCTTTCTTTCTTTCCTTCTTCTTCTTCTTCTTCTTCTTCCTCCTCCTCCTCCTCCTCCTCCTCCTCCTCCTCCTCCTCCTCCTCCTCCTCCTCCTCCTCCTCCTCCTCCTCCTCCTCCTCCTCCTCCTCCTCCTCCTCCTCCTCCTCCTCCTCCTCCTCCTCCTCCTCCTCCTCCTCCTCCTCCTCCTCCTCCTCCTTCTTCTTCTTCGTTTTTCGAGACAGCATTTCTCTGTCCTGGGACTCGCTCTGTAGGCCAGGCTGGCCTCGAACTCACAGAGATCCACCTGCCTCTGTCTCCTGAGTGCTGGGATTAAAGGTGTGTGCCACCACCGCCCGGCTAGCTCTTATAACTTATACTAACCTATCTCTCTTCATCTGCCCTTTGCCTCAGGCTTTTTACTTTTCTTTCAGTCTCTGTGTCTGTCTGTCTGTCTGTCTGTCTGTCTGTCTTGCAGCTGCCTAGCTGGCTTGTCCCAGGTGTCCCCCTCTTTCTCCCTTGTTCTCTTCCACTTATCCTCTCTGCCCATCCCTCCCCTGCCTAGCTATTGGCCATCCAGCTTTTATTAGACCAATCAGATAGATGCCTTAGGCAGGCCAGGTGAAACAGCAAAACATCTTTACATAATTACACAAATGCAACATAAACAAATGTAACACTCCTTTACATAGTTAAAGTAATGTTCCACTACGTGGGTTCTCTGGAAGAGCAGCGATCACTATTAACCAGCGAACCGCCTCTCCAGACATTCAGCTCTGACCTCTACAGCCCGAGTACTGGGTTACAGGCTTGTGCCACCAAAACTTCCTTTTGAGCGGGCGTTGGTGGCGCAGCCTTTAATCCCAGCACTCGGGAGGCAGAGGCAGGCGGATCTCTGTGAGTTCGAGGCTAGGCTGGACCGACAGCCTCCAAAACAATACAGAGAAACCCTGTCTCGAAAAACCAAAACCAACCAAACAAATAAAAAACCCCTGCCTTTTGTGCCTCTATCTGTATGAACAACTTACCTCCCTCCCTTTGTCTGTCTGTCTGTCTGTCTCTTTCTTCTTCCTTTTGCTGGGTCTCACTATGTAGCCCAGGCTAGCCTAGCCTGGAACCTACGCAGATCTCTTTGCTTCAGCATTCTGGGATTACAGGCATGCGCCCCACCCCCGTGTCTGTGAGACTATAAAACCAGTCACAGCAGGGAAGGCCAGGTGTCCATACTGGCTTGCAAAGGTCAGACCCACTGCAGACACAATTGGCTGAAATGTCATCACTTCTGGGGACCCACATGGTCCCTGTAGAGGGGGCGGGGACCCCAGGGGTACCTGTGTTATTGCCGTCACTGACACCACCTCCTGAAGACTCCAGGGTTTGAAGGAAGGTCTCCAGGGGGACATGGGCCAGGGAGTCTCCCACAGTGTCTCGAGCTCTGCTGTGTGGGGCTGTCACCACGGTGCCCACCGCTGTCGTCGTCTCTGGGGGCCGGGACATGTCTGCTGCAGGGGACACATGGGGTGAAACACACCTCTCATCTGCCCTCCAACACCGTCCCCACCCCACCAGGTCCGCCCCCACCTACCTTCTGTCAGGAACTCACAGCTGCAGGATGCCACACGGCTGGCCAGACAGCCTCCCCGGGCACAGGACAGCCCTGTGTCTTCCTCACTGTCCCTGTGCAGTGGAGAAGGCACAGCGCATCTCACCACGGGCCTGGGCGGGGCCTGGGCGGGGCCCCAGGGCTGCTTACAGAGCATGGAGTTCTTCCCACGCCCTCACCCTCTGTGGCCACTGTGTGAGCGACCCGCCGCCCAGGCCACCGTGAGCATGGTGCTCCCGCTTGTGCTCATTCCTGGGATCCCAGGGACACCCTCCAGTGGGGGATGGCGTGGTGATCAGTGGAGCCTGGGCAGCCCCGTGAGGCCATCCTAGCTCTAAAAAGGGTGTGACCCCAGGGGAAGTCTTTGGAGCAGATGGCCATTATATGAGCACGCACCTTGGGGATGAGGCTGTGAGGCACTCAGGACTCTAATTGAGCTTTATTTAAATGAATCTGTTAATTAGAAAGCAGCCCCCTCTCATCCTATTAGCCAGAGAAACCGCTGCCAAGTACTCAGCTGGGTGACACCGCCAACCCGCCCCGTCCCGCCCAGGGTGACTTCTGGACAGGGGAGTCATCCTCTTTCTGTACAAAACTGACCAGATGTGCCAGCCACGCCACCAACCACGACTCCAGTGACCTCAGCCTACCAGCTTGCTCATCAAAATCCAACTTGTCTGTAAAATGATGTGTGTGCGTGTGCTCACGGGTGGGTAGGTGTGTGTGGATGTAGGTGCCGGACGTGGCCTGAGGCCGCCGATCTGCTGGAGCCGGAATTACAGGCCATTATGAACTGCGTGACGCGGGTGCTGGGGACCGAACCCATCCCCTGGAAGAGCAGTACTGCTGTGCCTTCTCTCCAGCCCCAAGCCCTACTTGTGATGAGGGGTGTGGCTGGCAGAGCACATGGGTAGCATGCACGAGCCTGGGCTAGACCCACAGAGGCCTTGATGTCCTCCACCTGTCTGGCTCTGGCCTAACCATTTTGTTGTTTATTGGAGGTTTTGCTTGCTTGGTTTTTTTTTTTTTCTTGTTTGTTTGTTTTTGTTTTTTGTTTTGAGATGGGGCTCATGTAGCCCAGGATAGCCCTAGCTAGCTATGTAGCAGAGGATGACCCCCAGGCTCCTGATCCTCCTGCCCATCTTGGGAATAACTGATGCTGGCTCTAGGTTAGTACTTGCTGTCTGGGAGCTGGGTCACTGGGGAGGAGGGGACGAGACACACCTCCACCTGGCCACCCCCCCATCCTCGGGGCCAGAGTACTCACCCAGGATCCACACAGCCCTGGATGTCAGCCACCCACGAGTGCTTCTGCAGCGAGTCTATCGTCTCCAGAATGTACTCTGCTCCGTTCTCCACCTGGGTAGGAGTCGACCAGCTAAAGCCTCCTCCACTGCAGGGTGGGGGCGGAGCACCCCAGGACCAATGAGCAAAGGGTTCAGATGGCTTCGCTCACCCCTGAGTTAGGCCCCAAGGGCATGAACAGAAAGGAGGACAGTGGGATCACCCACGTCAGGGGCAGGGCTGCATGTAGCCCGAGTCCACACGGACGGAGGCGCCAGCCCCTGGCACTTATTATAGTCAAGAAGCCTCGTGTTCGGAGAGCAGCCACTTGCTCAAAGGTTCCGCAGCAGCCAGCAGCAGCTGAGACCTGGACACAGCCCCGATGCCCAGTCTTCCTGTTCTGGTCCCCTGCGCATCCTGTCACCCTGAGAGAGCCTCGACAGCCTTCCTTTCCCCGTGGGGAAACGGGCTCACAGCGGGCTGGCAGGGGAGGGGCTCACAGCGGGGCTGGCAGGGGAGTCCTTCTGCCTCAGGGGTGCCCGAGGACCACCCAGCAGCTGAGAATACCAGATGGACAGTGCCTGTGTCCCCAGCTACCAGTCTTGAGGGGACAGCTCAGGACATAGAGTTGGCACACATTTACCCAATGAATAAAAGAATCTGTGGCTTGTATAAACACAAGCTCAATAAGAGTTTGCCGGGGGGGGGTGACCGTGCACAGCTCCAAGAGGGAGGAACGGCCTCCTGGAGGGACTCGGCTTCACAGTCAGGTTCCTTCCAGGAAGCCCTGACCACAACCCAGCAGCCTGGACTCATGTCCTCAGCAGCCCCGCAGGCCATCCCAGTCCTGTGGACCTGGAGGAGAGGGGGCTCCAAGGCCCACTGGGGGCCTCCCACACACCCGCATGTCTTTGTTCCCTCTGCAGGGACCAGGCTGGTTCCCACACTCCCACTTCCCGGTGCCTGTGGACATCTGCGTAACCTCAACAAGCTGGTCACCAGCAGCTGTGAGGTGGGTGTGTCTGGCTGCAGAGGGGGGACAGGAAGGGAGCTCTAAAGACCTTCCTGGGACCCAGGAAGAGATGGGGAACAGGGCTGGTGAGACAGGTGAGTGGACGGCGGCGTTTGCTGCCGGGCTTGATTTCCAGGGGAGGAACCCACCGGTAGGCGGGGAAGAGTTCTCTCAGTTGACCCCTGAAAGTTACCCTCTGACCTTCATGGCCACACTGTGGCAAGCACACGCACGTACACACCAGGCAGATAAAGGTAGCCAGGTGGTGCTGCGCTCCTTTAACCCCAGCACTGAGGAGGCGGGGGCAGGCGGAGCTCCAGGAGTTCAAGCCCAGACTGGTCTACAGAGTGAGTTCCAGGACAGCCAAAGACACACAGAGACAAACTCTGTCTCGAAAAACTAATAATAATAAATGTAATTAAAAAAATAAGAAAAGGGCTGGGCGTTGGTGGCGCACGCCTTTAATCCCAGCACTTGGGAGGCAGAGGCAGGCGGATCTCTGTGAGTTCGAGGCCAGCCTGGTCTACAAGAGCTAGTTCCAGGACAGCCTCCAGAGCCACAGAGAAACCCTGTCTCGAAAAACAAAAACAAAAACAAAAACAAAAACAAAAGAAAAAAAGAAAAAAAGGAAAAAAAAAAGAAAAGGAAGGAGATCCAGGTGGCCAACCATGTCGGGATGCATGACTCTAGAACGCAAACCAGATCCAAGTCCTACCTAGTGATGGACCTGCTGTGGGGTTCTATCACCCCCTTTGATGGTCTAACCTGCCCCCTGTAATGAGCTGTGTAGCCCACTAGGGCTGCGGCCCCAGGCAGACACAGACCTGGGGGCTGCAGGGGGCTCTTACCTTGAGCACGAACGTGTTGTCCTTCTCAGGCATTTCCAGGGGCATGGTGGTTCGGACCTCAATGATGGCGGACAGGGGGATGCTGACCTTGGGTCTGGAAGCCTGGGAGGGCAGAGGGAGGGACAGTGGGAGGAGCCCCTCGGAGGCTTTAGGAGACCCTCTCCGCACCTCCCACCCCACTTTAGAGATGGGGACATCGAGAGAGACAGCAAGGACTCTCCTGTGGTCACGGCAAGCTAGAGACTGGCTGGTACCTGAACCCCAACCCCGTGAGCTGTGAGTGCCCGCTGGCCCATCCTCCACCCCCCCCACCCCCCCCCACCCCCGGCACCTATTTTATACGCTGTTCTCCCTTCTCTTCTCGCCCTCCTTCATTGTCTCTCTTTCCTTCCTCATTTTGGTACTGGAAATTTTGCCCAGAGCAAGCTCTCTATGACAGAGATCCTCACTGGGGGATTCTAGGCAGGCGCTCTGACACTGAGCCAAACCCCAAGCCCTTGGTTTTTGGAAATAGGATCTCAATCTATAGTACCGGCTGACCTAGAACCCACCAGGGAACCCTGGTTGGCTTGAGCTTGGGCAGTCCTTCCTGAGTTTACTGAGTTATGGGATTGTACAGGTGGAGCATTGCATTAAAATTTATTTATTTAATTTTCTTTTTCAGGCAGGATCTCACTATATATCTCTGACTGGCTTGGAATTCACTATATAAATCATAGCACAGAAGCCTACACAGTGATGCCGGGCGCTGGTGGTGCACGCCTTTAATTCCAGCACTCGGGAGGCAGAGACAGGAGGATTTTTGTGAGTTCAAGGCCAGCCTGGTCTACAAGAGCAAGTTCCAGGACAGGCTCCAAAGCCACAGAGAAACCCTGTCTCAAGAAACAAAAAACAAAACAAAAAAACAAAACAAAAAACAAGAAAGAAAGAAACCTACACAGTGAATCCAGGTCAGTTTGGGCTATGTGACATACTGTATCAAATGACCTCCAGTGAAGAGCTGGGGTGTGGCTCAATGGTAGAGCACCTGCCTAGAATTCTCCAGTGAGGGGTTGGGGTGTGGCTCAATGGTAGAGCACCTGCCTAGAATCCCCCAGTAAGTGGCTGGGGTGTGGTTCAGTGGTAGAGCACCTGCCTAGAATCCCCCAGTGAGGGGCTGGGGTGTGGTTCAGTGGTAGAGCACCTGCCTAGAATCCCCCAGTGAGGGGTTAGAGGTGGGGTGGGCATGGCTCCCAGAATAAGGTGCTTCCTGCTTTGGATGAGATGTTCTGGAGCACAGCTCTCATCTCAGAACGGAGCTCTGGAGCTGGGCATGGCCTGTCTCCAGGCACGGGGCAAAGGGAACTAGCATGCCAATGCTGCCCTCACAGGGTTAAGCCAGGGCAGTTAGCAGGGCTCCTGAGGAGGGTGGCTCTGTGCAGGCCCCTCTATGCTCTGCTCGACAGCTCCGGCCTGTGCCCCTGCGCCTCCCTGGACTGGCCCGAGGCCCACATTCCCGGCAGGGCTTGGGCTCTGGGACAGGGACTTTCTGAAGAGGAAAGGGAAGGACCTCATATCTGGTGGATGGGAATTCTTGGCCACTCTGGACACTGTCCAGCGGGCCCTGGGCTGGGCTTACAACAGTGACGGATGGGCCTAGCTAATCACATCTTCACACCAGCCTATGGCTGGGGTTGGCCACCTGGGGCAGAGAGCACGGGAAGGTTTATAATGGTGCCTTCAGCTGGGCACCCATTGGCTGGAGATGCTGTGTTCCTGGGTCCCTTCTCTCAGCCTGATGTCCGAGGCCATCTGTCTTGATGTAGTTGTAGTTGCCCCTTGCCCCCAGTGCTGGGGTAGAATCTAGGACCTCATGCTTACTAGGCAAGGACTCTAACACTGAGTTATATACGTGCCCCTCACTGGGGGATTCTAGGCAGGGGCTCTACCACTGAGCCACACCCCAGCCCCTCACTGGGACTCTAGGCAGGGGCTCTACCACTGAGCCACACTCCAGTTTTACCTGCTTCTCCCTATTTTTTTGTTTGTTGTTTTCTTTTCTTTTTTTCCTTCAGTTTTGTTTTGTATGTTTTTTGTTTTTGTTTGTTTGTTTGTTTTTTTCAAGACAGGGTTTCTCTGTGGCTTTGGGATCTGTCCTGGAACTCGCTCTGTAGACCAGGCTGGTCTCAAACTCACAGAGTATCTGTCTCCTGAGTTGATCCCCAAGACCCACATGGTAAAAGGAAGGAACTGGCTGCCTCTGGCTGTCTGCTGACCTCCACATGTGCACCCCCTGCTCAATAAATAAATGTTTAAAAAATTTTTAAAGCTGGTGGACCCTTTAAGAGGCAGGGCCTAGTGGAAGATGGTTGGTCCCTGGAGCTGCTAAGTTGGGAGGAGATGAATGAAGTTCTCAAGGAACCTGGCTAGTTATGTAGTTATTTAACCAGAATGAGTTAATGTAAGGCAAGGTCACTCTATGCCTGACCTTTTCTACAAATGGCTATTTTCTCCTCCTCCTCCTGTCTGCCCTACTGTGAGAGGCTGTGAAGACCTTCCTAGAGGTAGATGGGGCTTCCTGACCTTGCCTTGGACCTCTCTCTCTCTCTCTCTCTCTCTCTCTCTCCTTTTTGTTTGAGATAAGATAAGGTATCATGCCGGGCGTTGGTGGCGCACGCCTTTAATCCTAGCACTCGGGAGGCAGACGCAGGCGGATCTCTGTGAGTTCGAGGCCAGCATGGTCTACAAGAGCTAGTTCCAGGACAGCCTCCAAAGCCACAGAGAAACCCTGTCTCGAAAAAACCAAAAAAAAAAAAAAAAAAAAAAAGATAAGGTATCATGGAGCTCAGACAGGTCTTGAACTTGCTATGTAGCCAAGGATGACATTGAACCTCTGAGCCTCCTGTTGCTACCTCCCCAAAGCTTGGATATAGGTAGTTACCATGCCCAGTTTCTTCCTTCCTTCCTTCCTTCCTTCCTTCCTTCCTTCCTTCCTTCCTTCCTTCCTTCCTTTCTTTCTTTCTTCCTTTCTTTCTTCACAATCTAGCCTCTGGGACTTTGTTATAGAGACAGAAGATGGACTAATACACTCTAGAGTGATCCACAAGTCCATGGATCACTCCCAAGTATTCTACTTTGCTCCGATATCCTGAGAGCCTGAAGCAAGATCAGGGGCTAGGAACCTGTTTGTCGTCATTGAGCTGAGGAAGGAAGGGCTCAATGATCCCTCAGGAACACTCTCTTCTGCCAGCAGTGAAGTTGGAGGGCTCTGCAGGGATCAATGGAAAGACGGGAGGGCACCAGCTGCTGTGTCCTCTCCCCAGGGCGACGGGGACAGCTATTTAGAGAGCAGCAGCTGGGACTGCCACTCACAGCAGGAGACAGCGAAACCTCGGGCCTCTGCCCCTGCCCTCTGGGTGGCCCTGGGCAAGCCACCCATCACCAGGCTTTGGTCTCTCTCCGTGTCTGTAGATTCGAGTTTAGTGGCATTTTTCTCAGGGGCTGAAGGCGGGGTGTGGGTAAGACCCCCTTGGGGAGTCTGGGGGCACTGGGAGTTGGGGTGAGCGCTCTTCACCAGTGTGTGCTGGGAGTCCTCACAGCGTCTTGCTTCGGGAAGCTCTTACTCCGGCACCTTGAGGGGAGGCTGGGGGGACGCTGACTCAAGGTGTCCGGGAGGGTACTGGGGAGACTGAGCCCCGGGGTGGTCGGGTCTTGGGGTGTTACCAGCTGCCATGCCAATACTCAAAGGACTTCCCTGCATTCTGGCGACCATCTGAGTGGTGCTATAACCAGCCTGCTTCTGCCACCGCGATGACTGCAGGCAAGCCACGCCCCTCCTCTCAGTGCTAACTTTGTTCCCTTCCTCCCAGATAGCCTCATGCAGGTCAGGCTGGCTTCCAACTTGCTATGTAGCCAAGGATAACCTTCAACTTCTGATCCTCCTGCTTCCAAGTGCGCTACCACTCAGGGATTATGGGGTGCTGGGGCTCTGGGCTTCCCGAGGGCTAGGTAAGCACTCTACCAAGTGGGCTACTCCCCCAGCACCCCTACTTTTCAAGCACGTTACATTTGCTCCCCTGAAGCAGACCCCACACTTCCCTGTCCCCTAGCACGGGAGGGCTTTGGTGACCGATGGGCCCGGGGCCCGTGGACTCAAAGTGGCATGAAAATGATAGTAGCAGACAAAGACCCTGTCTTCCTCCTGATGGGAAGGAAGTGGCCGCCCGGTAGGGCTCAGCTGGAGCCTGGCAGGGGCAGCAGATGTGTGACTGCCTTGGACCAGGACGCAGGCCTCTCGGAAACATGTCTGAATGTACCGTGTTACTTCCTGCCTTCACATGCTACATTTCGTCTCTGGGGCGTGCCGCCTGTCCCAAACCTGTGCCAATCAGACGAGGCCACACAGTCCCCAGATCAGTCCCAGGCACCCACCTGTCACCGACCTGCAGATCCCTTAGTCTGTGACGGCGACATGCACCGAGATACGAACCTTGGGTGGCACGAAGAACTCCAGGCGGAAGCGCTCCCCAGCCACGGCCCTTCTCAGAAGCAGGCGACACTTCTGCCACTGCGCAGTGCCCCCAGGGCCCGAGGCTGCATCGTCTGCCACCATGAAGCGCAGTGCGCCCTCACGCTGGATGTCCACTAACTCCACCTTCGCCGCCAGTGTCCGGGCCAGCCTCAGGCGTCGCGTCCATTTGTCTCGAGGCTCGGATGCAGGCTCGGCGGTCTTGGGGGTGGCTCCAGCATCGGGTTCTGGGGACGAGCGCCGGTGCCACAGGTCGCGTACTCCGTCCACCACGCACAGGCTCATGTTTCGTAGTGAGAAGCCCTTGCGCACACGGGCCTTGGTGGCGGCGTGGGCAGACACGTCCTCGGAGCTGCGGGAGTGGCCATAAGCTGCAGCCTTGAGCGCTGATGTCACGGCAGGCTCGGGCTCCATGGCTGCCGTCCCCAGCACTCGGCGCACCTCCTCGCTGAAGACTGCCAAGAAATTGGCTGCAAAGTGGCGGGAGAATGAGGTCCCTGCGTCAGGCGTGTCGTAGGTCGGGTTGTCGCGAAGGAAGCGGCAGAACTTGTGAGCAAAGTCCACAGCAGCCACCTGTGCGTGCAGCTCGCAGAACTGCCGCCAGTCAGGGACTGGGGCGGGGGCGGCCGAGCCGGGGGTGGCACCATTCATGGCTTTGGTCCCATGGCAGCCTCAGGCTGAGGGGGGAAAAGAGGTGAGTGTTTCTTTTTTGTTTTCTCCTCCTTTTCTTCCTCCCTCCCCCCTTCCGAGGAGAGTCTCATGTAGCACAGGCTAGCCTCAGACTCCCTATGTAGCAGAGGATGACCTTGAGTTTCTGATCCCAGTGGCCCATCCACAGCCCTCCCTGGGGATCTATGGCATCATCCGGGCTTTATTTGAGCCGCTCCACCCACTGAAGCTAGAGGTGCAGGCTGCTACCCAAAGAGTGCATGTGACAGATAGGGAGGTAGGTTCTAGAGGTGGGGGTGTCTCAAATAGCACTCTTGGGGATCCCCAGGGTCATTCTTTCCGGGGACTGGTCAAGGAGGCTGAGGGGACAGACACTTTCAAATGGTGCTCCGTGATTTTGGGTGACCTTATGATCTCCCGTAACCTCTCCAATGTCTCCCGAGGAAGAGCCACCTCTGCAGCCCCTGTGGACTCCGCCTTAGCCTCTGTCTCCTCCTTCATTTTGGCCACCACGACCTGAGCTGTCTCGTCCCTTCCCTCCCTTCCGGCATGCTCTGCCTGAGTCAAGGCACTAAGGAGCCAGCCAACCATAGCCTTCAACTTCTGGAGCAGGGCCCTCCCTCCCTACGATGCTCCTGGGTACCTATCTGTTATAGTGACAGCAGCTTGCACTCAGTCTCAGGGTC